ACATCACCGTTTTGAATCTCCCAATAAAATTTCGTAGTGTTTCGCTCTGTTCTTGTGAATCGTCCATAATTCTGCATCGGAGACTTCAAGATCCATAAATATAGAATCAGCGATCGAATAACTTTCAATTCAGTGGCTGCCTAATCCATCTAAGCTCGAATTACGGTGATCTCCTCCATCTGGAATTGGATTATCGCTCTCTTTTCATCCTCGAACTGAGTTTGTTGTGCCAGAGACTGTCTTCTTTTTCTTTTATCAAGTCTTGGACTTGCTGCTGCTCGGTATGGTTTTGTTTTGTAGCCGTGGGTTCAATGCATCCAGTGTCGTCTTCGTTACATTCCCCGACAGGGTCATTTTTCCGTCTAGATTGATTACAGGATCAGAGCCGATTTCGATCTTAGTGTCAGTCTCACGTAGCCCCGACTTCTGTCCGGTTGTTGCAACCGTGGGGTGCAGCGGAGCTAAAACCCCTCAGGTTCTCGGCGCATTGATTGGCGTCAAAATTCGAGGGCAGTTAGGCGCAGTAGCCCGCTGGATCTCCTTGGCCGACCTAGGCCCGAGCCTTTGGCTCACCACTGCTAGGGTTTCTAGCTTATCGGTGATGTTTTCTGCTTGTCGTGCTCCTCCACCTTTTTGAGCAACGCCTCCAACAACGCTTTTATCTAGGTTAGGCTTTCCGGAGCTGCCTTTATGGTGACTTGTGTTGGTGTCTCCTTCGATCCAGATCCATCACGTCTTGTCTCGTTTGGATCGTTAGCTTGTCTGTCTCCGTCGTTGGTCATCTTCGATTCGATTTTGCGGTGGTTTTTAGTGTAAGAAAATTTCAATTCACTTCAGACAGCGCCAAATTGTGGGAGTCGAAACTAGCACAATCAATACTAGTCGAGATTTTCAGAGGAAACTAAATATCGAGGGTTAAACCAACGCAAAAGATCAAGAGATTCTTATTGTTGTAAAGAAAGTTTTTGTTATATAAGTTTCTGTGTATGATTTTTGATCCTTTTCTCAAGGGATGTACATGTTTACATATACTAATCTAAGTCGGCTAGATCAATTCTTAAACGATAAAGGAAACTATCCTAACTTTTCTAAATTTTTGTTTCACTCTTTTCCTCTTCGGCTCATCTTCCTAAACAAAAAAGGAAAATATCTAAGTCTTCTGAAACTACAGTTTCCAACGAAGTCGGTTTATCTCATGGGCCTCCGTTCCAGGCATGCCTAAGGCAAGACTTGTCATTTCAGCCCATACGTCTTTGTCTTCGGCCCACTCCTCACAATTGAGTCTTCGACAACACTCCTATCTTCGTCCTCGTAATGATCACCACGATGACTTTGGTAGAATGTCTTCCCTAGCATTGCCTTTGGCATAGACAGTGCATTCGGTAGAACCGCCTTCGGCACGGATAGTGCCTTCAATAAAATTAGGACTTTTTCATTGTGTCGTTTGTTGAAGGGCTCAGATTCACGTATCGCATCCCGTGCTGAAGTGAGCTAGTACGCGTGTCGTGTCCAGTGTCGAAAGGATCCGGTACGTGTACGGGATCCCATGCCGAAGGGAACTGGTGTGCGTGCCGCGTTTTGTGTCGAAGGGAATCACGTCGCATACCGCGTTCCATGCCGAAGTGAACCTGTACGTATGTTGCGTCCCATGGTGAAGGGAGACGGTACGTGTACCGCATCCCGTGTTGAAGGGAACCGATGCACGTGCTGCATTCCGTGCCGAAGGGTATCGCGTCGCGTACCGCATCCCGTGCTGAAGCGAATCGGTACGCATTTCGCGTCCCGTGTCGAAGGGAGCCAGTATGCGTACCGCGTCCCATGTCAAAGGGAATCGGTGCGCGTAACGCGTCTTGTGGCAAAGGGAATTGCGTCACGTACCCCGTCTGTAGCGAAGGGAACCGGTACGCGTGCCACGTCCCGTGCCTAAGGGAGTTGGTACGTGTATCGCGTCCTGTGCCGAAGGGAACCGATGCGCGTGCCGTGTCCCATACCGAAGGGAATCGTGTCATTTACCCCGTCTGGTGCTGAAGAGAACTCGTATGCGTGCCGTATCCCGTGCTGAAGGGAGCTGGTACGCATGCTGCTTCCCATGCCGAAGGGAATCGGTATGCGCGTCGTGTCCTGTGACGAAAGGATCGAGACGCATCATGTGCCAAATGGAGTTGTTTCGCTTCTCATACCATGAACCTGTCGGCGTGTCGTCTTCGGCAAGTTGCCTTTTGTCAGGACCACAACCGAGTTCATCTTCGATGTATAGGTAAACCTTCAATGAACTCGTAACCCTAGACCTACTCCAGACGTGCCCAGTAG